AAGGAAAAACAAAACAAAAAAAGACATGGAGAGGGGCTGTCAGGGCCCCCCAGGGACAGAACTGGCATGCCCCCCCCCGCTTAGTGCAGTGCCTTGGTCAGGCAGTCTTAAGTTCATATCCTGTCTCTGACACCAGTCAGCTGTGAGACCTCTAGCAAGTTACTTCACGTCTGGGCCTCAATTTCTTCATCTGTCCAATAGGTATAAGAATCATCATGCCCACTTCACTGGGGTTTGGGAGAGGCTCTTAGGTAGCAGATGTGAGCACTGAGTCACTGTGCTCAGATAATGATGCTGACCAGCACAGCCTTAATGTTTCGGGCACTTCCAATAACACCAGACCCCTCACAACAGACCCCTATCTTGTGAATAAGAAACTGGAGCACAGAGAGGCGAAGTGATTTGCTCAAGGTCACCCAGCTGGTATGTGGTGCAGCTAGGATTTGAACCGAAGCTCATCTAACTCACAGAGCACACATTTGGTCTTTGTGACACTTCATGACACCCACTTTGCAGATGGGGAAACTGAAGCTCTGAAAATTGAAGCATTTTCACAGGCACCTGGTAGGAGAAGCTGCTCTGGCTAGGAGTGGTATGGGGACCCCACGGCGACCCTCACTGACCCCGCCAGTCCTGCCCACTCACTCCAGCTGCGTCATGTCCTCCACACCATCCTCCCTGTGCTGCTCTCGGAACCGCACGGACGGCAGGTTGCGGATGGAGTGCATCTGCATGAGAGAGAGGCTGTGTCTGCGGGTTGGAGGGCACACTCACCCCACGGCCCGTGGCTTGGTCACAGCTGGGACCTGCTCCCGTTGTCAGACAGGGCGCCCCGAGGTCAGGTTGGGCGAGTCCTGCAGGCCTCCTTGCCACTGAAAGCTGTTGCCCACGGAACCTGCCTTCGTCCCTCGCACCTGGGGGAGCCCCCAACTGTAAAGGCACTCGCACGTATACACTGGCTCCCTCCTGACCTAGGCTCTCGCAGGCCCCGTGTCGGCTTGTGCAATGATTCGATGGACACCCGTGTCCTGGTGCATGGGGCCTCTAGCATGGCGGAGATGGAGATTGTCTCAGCACCACACCTCACACCCATCCTGGGGCACATGCGTGGACACCTGTGTATGAACCTCCACACAATGGCATCTGCAGTTCATACAACTCCCATGCATGCTGGTCTTGCAGCAGGCCTGTGGGGCCTGGCCGCAGGCATGTGAATGTGCAAGCACACATGCACTGTGTCCACTTGGCATGTATGTGTGGGCAGATAGCTGGGGCCCTCCCTACTCTGCAGGTCTTGAGAATGGAAGTCCTGCTGTCACCTTTGGGCTGCAAGGTCTTCACTGTGCCTGTCTATGTGCATACACGTGTGTGTACGCGGGCAGAGGGTGGGTGAATGACCTGACTCCCAGGGATGCCACGTCTGCTCAGATGTCAGCACATGCACACACACTTTCCTCATTTGGCTGTGGTACTCACACACGTGTTCAGGCACCCAGGCCTGCATAGGACCCGTGTGACTGTGAGCACACACGTGTACTCTCAGGCGTTCCGATTCCAGCTGTGCCCCTCCCTGAGCAGGTTAGGAAAGGTGACACTAGAAGGGAGCCCTGAGTGCCCGTCACTGGGCTGCTAAGTAGGACACAGCAAGTATCACCCTTTCGGCCCTGGCCTCTGGCCCACCCATCTACCCACGTGCAGCCACAGACCCTGAATAATTCAGCCACTCACGTATTCCAGGGTGAGGAGGGCCCAGGCATCCTTGCCCCTCACCCCTGGGCGCCCTGCGCCCCGCTCCCGCAATGCTGCAGCCCACACAGCACGGGGCACCCGCCGCCGGGGCCAGGGGCCCCCCAACAGCCAGGCCGCCCCGGTCGCCATTGCTGGGCCCAGCTGGCTACCCGCTCCACCGGGCACCGTCTGCAGAGCTGAGAAGTACCCGCCGCCTCTGCTTGCCCCGCCCACCCCTAGCGTCCCGGGGGAGGCTCCGGTGACCACTCGTCTCCGCCAAGGGCCACCCAGCATCAGGCTCGCGTTCCGCCATGAATGTGGCAGCCAGGCATGGGCTGGGCACCCCTAAGATGGATTGCCTTCCCTGTATCCCATGGGGGCCCGATGAACTCCTGGCTCAGTTCTCCATCCACCATGTGACCTCTAGGTCTCAGTTTCCCCTCTCTGCAATGAGGAGGCTGGAGAGTTGGGTCCTGAGCCCTTAATCCTTGTCTAGTACAGAATCCTGTAGCCCAGGGGACTGCAAAGGGCAGCAGAAACCCTGCAGAGACTACAATTTGGGGGAAGGTCAGCAGGAAGCAGGAGGAACAGCAAAGACCTGCGTGTGTAGGTGGGACAGTGGACAAGCAATGCCTGCAGTTTCGCATTCAACTCAGCCAAAATCTCCGGGCGGCAGCTGGGGAGCCAGGCCTGCCATCCAGATCAGACTAGGGCAGGGCTGGGACTGACAGATCTGGGACTGACAAAAATCCTTCCCCAAAGCAACTCGGCGGCAGCAGCCCACATCTCTGTGTAGTGTGGGCCTGTGCTGCGCATCCCCTTGTTCAACCTTCCAGAGGTTCTTGAAGGCCCAGGCCGTTCTACCCAACTGACAGATGGGAAGACGGAGGCAGCATCTCCTAAGGTTGCAGAGTGCTCCAGAGGCTGTCTCACCTGCCCTATTTCCTAGGCCAGAACTCCCAAGCCTTCCCTCTAACCTATGCCCCCATACCTTGTTCCACCAGCTTTTGGGGCCAACCTCTTCCCAGGGGCCCCCAAGGGACAGGCAGGCGGCTCCAGGGCCAGAGCGGCAGGACTTGAGATGGGCATGTACTCGTGGCCAGGGTCGGTGGGTGTCTGCTGGCAGCCAGAGGCGGGACCAGTAAACACTCCAAGCTCTCGGCTCAGGGGTGGGCTTGGGGGCCTGCGTAGGTTGGGCTGGCGGATGTGGGGTCACAGGCCCAACTCTCTGGAAGGAGCTCAGCTTCTGCACTCTAGGCATGACCACGGCGAAACGCCCAGGGCCTGCCTGGCGCCGCTCACCCCCCGTGGGCAAGGGCTCCGGGACCCTGGTGGGCACCAAGGGGGCCAGGGCTCTGGGTAGTGTCCCCCAGCGGCGCCATGGTGGCCACGTGGCCCTTGTCTGGTCACACGCGGCCAGCGGGTAGGAGAGGCTGAGTTTCAATGCCTTCTGCTCTGGGAAAACATCCTTGAAGGATGTCAGCGTTGGAGGCTCAGGCTCTGCTGGTGGCTGGGGGTCCCCTGGGGTGGCCTCTTCTTCAGGCTTCTCAGGGTTCAGGCCAGTCGCTTTGGTGAGCTGTCCGGGACCCGGGTCGTGGTGTCGGCCCAGGAAGACACTGGTCGAATCTGCAGCTCCATCCTCAGGCCGGAGAGCGGGGGATGGCACAGGGCCCACGTGCTGCAGGAAGGGGTTTTCAGGTACAGGGGGTGGCCTGGAAAAGCCTCGTCGGCTGCCCGCACCTCCTGGCCAGGGGGAGGGTGGGCGCTGCGTGGGAGGCACGTCCACGTCCCAGCTGGGGGCCAGCGGGGGCACCGTCCAGGGTGTCTCCGCGTCCTCGTCTGCTCTCCGGCTCTCCTGGTGCTCCAGGGTGCCC